ATATATATTTTTAGAAGTAGTTCACCAAGGGCTTTCTTGAGAATTTTTTTCAGATTTTTCGTTTTTTCGCTATTGCACGGCCCCAGTTGAAAATTACTGTTGTTTAACAAAACTATTTTAAGGTGATTCCTCAGTATTGCATTGCACATCCCTATTGCACGTGATTTTTGTGTCATTAGTGCACACACACACACACACGCACACACAATTTAAGAGATGTCCATCAAGCTAAGCTCGACAGCGAAATAGATGCTTGTTTTCTCTTAAGGTATCAGCCACCCTTCAGGACCGTCCACGTGCCAATTGCTCTAGCACTTTTGTTTTTCATATAAACCCCTACAAACCAAACATTTTCTGAAAGCTTAATAGTTCCAGATTATGGCTCATTCCTTTAAAAATCTCAAAATCCAAAGAGATAGCTTAATTGAGACGTTTTTGGCAAAAGCACATGTCTGTGTACATTCATCTCCAGTCCCGCTAAGAATGAGCGGAAGAGAACGATAAAAATTGCATTTGCTTCTTGACACGTTCTTCTAAAAAACTGTCTCAGATTTTTGACACGTGCATTTGTTGTTTTTTAACAATAGAATTAAGTCAGAGGAGACAAATCATCAGCACTTCCTTTGAAAAAATGACAATTACTCGAAAACGGTGAAAGAAAACAAAAATCACAGACACGATTTTCAAGGAAAACTATCTGACAATAAGCTGGCCAAATTTAAGCCAAATCGGTCCAGAGGTTGCTGACTTGGAGTTAAAAAAAGTATGCCTAACTTTTCGAAATTTTCGTTCCAAGAAAAAAAGAAAAAAAATTTTTGGCGGCATTTTACCTGCAATAGGATTATAACCCCTGAACGTCCATGTTGATTTTTACCAGAGAGGGATCATCTTGCAATAACAATAGGTGTTTGACAGGTGATGTGCAGCAGGCCAAATCTTTACGTGGGATCAGAGGTTAGTTAATTCAAAATTCTTGTTCCATGTATAAATAAACAAGTTGCAAGAGACCTGCACGACTCCCGCGGTATGCAAAGGCGTATTGTTTGCCTTTAGTGTTTGCCATGTACTTATGCATTGTTTAGGCTCATTTATATTGCAAGATTTGTTCTAGTCTCTAAGTATTTGCTTTCGAGGGACAAAATACAAAACTTTCCGTGAACATTTTGCTTACTTGCATTATTTATTGTGACCCCGGGCCCAGCTGTGATTAGAACTGTTTGCAAGCAGTAGGTGGATTCTATTCTTATCACTGATATTGTATTGTTTGTCCTTGTACGTTTTTCTCTGGAGACGTTGTAGTTTTACTTCGAGAAAGCTATACGTTTCTCCAGATACACGCTTATGTTTCTTGCAGCTATCTGATCAAACTTATGTTTCTCAACTCAATGTAGAGATTTATTCCTCCTTTTGGTCATTCTGGCACCACATGATTCAAATGTAGTTGTTTACACACAAGTCTGTTGACTGTTTTGTGTGTTGTAACTGCCTGTTGTATATGCCATTGTTCGGCTTAGTTACTCCAAAATGACAGGACTTGTCAGCAGGTAATTAAAACAATTAATGTGTAGTAAACTTTAACGTCCAACAACTTTGCTCTGAAATATATTTTTTGGTGGAATTCTTTATAAAAGAAAGCTCTTGAAAAGCTTTATCAGAACGTCTCAAAAACACAAATTTCAAAAAATTTGCATTTTAAACCCTGGCTGATACCTTAAACAAGCACTGTACAGTACCTTTTTTAATTGCATTAAATTAGTCTATAAGTCATTGCCTTTCCACTGCATGAGTAAGAAAAATTTTAACATCAGGTAAAAAAATTACTGCCAAAAATTTTTACTTACCCTTTCACTTGTGACCTAAACCTTACCACCCCTAGAAGACACACGCTAGAAATTTTTTTCGTCAACTCCAATCCAAGACATACATTTTTGCCAAGAAACACATATCGAATTGTTCCTTTATGACGATGCAATGTATCTATTGAGACTTTTTAATATTAAGGTATCAGTAAGGGGAAATTTGCCATTTTGCATAATTTTGCTTTTTTAAGCTGTTGGATAAATACTTAAGGTGATCATTACGATAAAAAAAACTCCACAAAAAAAAATATTATGTCTGCCGCTAGTCATTGCGCGAGAAAGATTTGTTACATATTAATTACTTAATTGAGAGTTGACGAGTTCTGTCAAATGAATTAAGATCATGCTGAGTTAACACGCGATCCGCGTTCCATAATCAGTGCCAGGTGTCTTTGAAGAAGAAAAAGCGATCTTGCCCGTTTTCATCAGCTAAAGGAAGGCCAGATAAAGGCGAACTGAACTGAATTCCGGTTTACGACGTTCGCTCCAGCATTTCCCTTTGTGTGCTTGCATTTCCTCGGGGACCTTCTATGGGCCTTCTGCATCTTAACTGACATGGTCATAATTTTGAAGATTAGTCAATCGATACATAAAATTTCAAATGCTAATATAGTAAATCGAAAGATAATTTCACGTTTACTAACCTTGGAATTCTGACATCACTCATGAAAAAGCAACTTATTCACTGGTGAATAATTTAGTGTGCCGTCGCGAGAAATTTGTACCTGTTCCATGTTAACTGTCACAGTCCTATTGTTATACAGAAAGTTGATTCCTCTGCGGTGTCTCCCTTGGTGTGATAATTTCATAACACTTGGATGCCACCAAATTTCATTTTTTCTCTGTTTATCGAAAGTAAAAATAGGCAAGTTGTACGTGCATTTTGAGTTCCAGGTTGGCAGTCCCTGGACCAAATTGGCTGAAATTCAGAGAGAATGTTGCCCGAAAGTTCACTGATAAAACCGTGTCTGCGAATACTGATTATTCTTTTCATTAAAAAGTTGTGTCTTTTTTTCGTGAGCAGTCTTATTCTAACTTTTCTAACTTTATCCTCTTGTAAAATAACAAGAAACACACGTGCAAAACTCTGAGACACAGTTTTTTAGGTCAATGTGTGAAGAAACGGATTTTTTCAACCTAAATTTAGCGGGTGTATACCTTGATTTATTGGTTCATAAAGCTTTGTAAACATATTCACATTTTCGAAACACAGTAAATTTTTACTGTTTTAAACAGGTCAGGTCATAATCTGTAGTTATTAAGCTTCCAATAAATATTCTGTTTATATGGGTTTTTGTCAAAACCACGAACACTAGAGCGGACCACACACAGATGGTCAAATGGGTTATACTGATACCTTAAACTTCACGTGTTTGGCCACTGATACCCCAAAACATAGCAGCATTCAGAAAAAGAAAAACACACTTGATGGGTATCAATGCATGCATTTTTGATGCACCTTTGACGAGTTATGACTCTTAAATGAGCGCCGTATGATATATTAGGAACCACAACAAATTCGAAAAAATCTAACGTCAAGTGTTATTTCTAGGGAATCACCTAAACGAATGATAATAATAATAATATTAGTAGTAATAGTAATAATAATAATAATAATAATAACAATAATAATAGAAAAAAGTAGGGTTGAATTGCCTGCTTCCTGAATCTCTGTTTAAACGTGTTCACCACTGAAAAGATGCAAAAGATGAGAATGAGGGTAAGAGAGAGACAATAATCATTAACAATACTCACCACTTCCAAAGTCATCACTGCTGTTTGTGGAAACAAAGGGTTCAAGCTTCACATCCCTAAAAACTGGGACAACTGTGTAATTCGCAGTAGTTGTAACAAATGTCACACTGTCATCTTTGGCTTTACAGCTATAGAAGCCACCGACGGCATAAGAGGGTCCTGAAGAGCCATTGTAGAAGCTTGTAATCTTGTTTTCTGCGGTTTAAACAAATTAGCTGAATTAGATACACACATTCATTTATGTCTACAGTGAAAGCTCTCTTAACCCACTGACGTCTGTGCCGCCCGCAACTGCCTGTGTGAAAAACTCTTCCATTTCCCTGTGCCACCCGTAACCGCCTGAAAAAAGCAGGTGGGGACAATCCTTTCCTACCCTCCCTGAAGACTTTTTGGTTCTCCTATTGTTCTATTGTTCTTGAGGACAAATATACCAAGGCTGTTGTCTAAGGAAATTTTTAGGGAGCCCTCCGGGCTTCTTCCACCAAAAGTTAGGAGCCCAAGCCACTTTTTTAGGAGCCCAAATAAAATTCTCCGTGGTCAATCCGGGG